ATAATTCATGTACATCTGTATATATATATATATACACACCTATAGATTCAGTGCCGTTTTTAATGCATGCTCCGCGTGTGGATCATGTATTACAAATGCAGGAAATTAGTATTAAAAGCAACGATGAGTTCATGCATACATTTATTCATACATTAGTCATGTATTACAAATCATATTTTTTAATCCCATGTATTCAAACTGCCCTGTACACACACACACACGCTGTCGCCCGAGGAAAGCAAAAAGGTAGGATACCATTCCCCCAGATTCCAGGCAGGAGGTATGCCCCGCCGGGACAAGAGAACAGACCCCCAAACCGCAGCCTCGCAATGGTGTGAGAGCAAGCGGGGGCCCCGGACAGTCGCTTATATTGCACCGTGGAGGTGTAGGCCATTTGGCATCGCTCGGACATGTGCATGTTTTCTTCGGCGAGGACCATCGACGAGCATCCTTGATCATTCGGTTCGGCGAAAAAAAACCACACACACACACACACACACACACACACACACGCACGCGCACACACACACACACACACATGCACGCACGCACGCACGCACGCACGCACGCACGCACGCACGCACGCACGCACACACACACGCACACACGCACACACGCACACACGCACGCACACACACACACACACACACACACACACACACACACACACACACACACACACACACACACACACACACACACACACACACACACACACACGCACGAGACCGAACAAAAAGCACAGGGAATGGACGTCCGAGCGATGCCCAGGCCAGTGATGGCATATAGACGTGGTGTGCGCTAGATGCGGTGCGCAAGCTGCGTGCTGCAGCCTCGACGGGCCCCCCCCGCGCGCGGGGGGTGGGCGGCAGCGGGCGTCGAGTCGCCGCGAGTCTTCGACAGACCCAAAGCCAGCGGACGGCCACGAGGTGGCCGCGGGCGTTTCGACGCGGCGAAGCCTCGGCGCACAGTCGAAAGCCCTGATAAGGACGCGCGGCTCTGCTCAGGGTACCCTTGCGTCCTTGCTCCTCCCTGCTCTTGCGTCCCTGCGGCTGTCGTCACCCGCCGCCCCAGGAATCCCAACTTCGGCCTCCAAGGGTCTTGCGTCCTCACCGCGCGTCCTTATAAGGGTTCTTGGCTGTACAGTCGGGGCCCCGAGGAAGGAACCCTTTTCGTTGGGGAGGGGCTCCGTGTTCCTTCATTGTTTCGCAGTTTGCCATGGGTTTTCTTCAGATTTCCGATCGGAAATCCAAGTTAAACTTATGGGGACAAAAAGGGGCCTCGTTCCTTATTTTGGGTTCCTTAGGTCAACGCCCCGACTGTACCGCGCGTCCTCATTAGGGTTTTTGATTGTATCCCCCAGGTGGGCGACAACGGGGCAGCAACGGGGCGGCGACGCGGCGAAGCCTCAGCAGACCCCCAGTGGGTGTCGACGAGGCGGCCACGGGCGGCCACGCCGGCGGAACCTCGACGTGCCCAGCCGATTCTTCTGGGAGGCGAGCACGGGGCCCCACGTGCAGGCACTGCTTTGGGGAAAACGTGCGCCTGGGGCGTTCCTCCAGGAGGAGGAGGAGGAGGAGGAGGAGGAGGAGGAGGAGGAGGAGGAGGAGGAGGAGGAGGAGGAGGAGGAGGGGGAGGAGGGGGAGGAGGAGGGAGGGAGGAGGAGGAGGAGGAGGGAGGAGGAGGAGGAGGGGGAGGAGGAGGAGGAGGAGGATTCGAAACTCGCTGAGAATGTAACATCGTGCCAAAACATCATTTCCAGCACCTCGGCACCGCGAATTAACGCAACTGTTGCGTTCTGCCAGTCTTTTGTCGTGCCAGAGCACCGTTCTGGGGATCTGAACACCACGAATCCACGTGACCGTTGCGTCCTGACAATGCTAGATCGTGCCAGAATACCATTCCTGGGACTTCAGCCCCAAGAGCCCTCAAACTTGTCGCAAATGTTTATAACGAATGTGCGAGGCGCTGGGGCGAAAGCCACACCATGAAAAGAAACCGACCTCCATCCTTGAACTTGCTGCAAACGTTTAGGACGAATGCGCGCTGCACTAAGTCGAGGGTTTCTTGTTGAAAACGGCTCCCCCTCCGTCTTCAAAGCTGCTGCAAACTTGTATGACGGATGCGCGCGGCGCTAAGGCGAGAGCTCCATTTTGACATCATCCCCTCCATCTTTGACATTGCTGCCGGCCCTAAGGTGAGAGCCACATGTTGCCCCCCCTCCATCCTTGAAGCTCCTGCAAACTTCTCAGACGAATGCGCGCGGCGCCACGGCGAGAACAACATGTTGAAAACCAGCCCCCCGCCATCCTCGAAGCTTTTAGAAAGTTCAAGCTTCAGGATCAGAAGTGGCGAGGACTTCTCTAGCGAAACCCCCGCCTCGGATTACGGACACGCCTGGGGTCGCGACAGGGAGGAGTTGATTACACGTGAGATGGATGGAGGAGGAGGAGGAGGAGGAGGAGAAGAAGAAGAAGAGGGCGAAGGCGAAGGCGAGGGGGAACAGAGGGAGGAGAGGGCGAGGGAGATGACAGGGGGGAGGAGAGGGCGGGGCCGAGGAGGAGGAGGCCTGCGTGGCCGCCCACTCGCAGGCCACCTCGAGGAGTGGTTCGCCAAGCACACGGAGTGCCCGGTGGCGGGGTGCGATTGCCAGTGCGGGCTCCTCCTCTGAGAGGCCCGCGGCGGGCCCTCCCCTGTGCTTCCTGCGGCTCCTCCTCGTCTCCTCCTCCTTCTCCTCCTCCTCCACCTCCTCCTCATCCTCCTCCTCCTCCTCCTCCTCCTCCTCCTCCTCCTCCTCCTCGTGTTCCTTGTGCTCCTCCCCCCCTCCCCCTCGCTGCCCCCCCCCCCTCGTCCTCCTCCTGCCTGTCCTGCCTTCCATCCCGCCCCGCACGCGCCAGCTTCTTGGCCCAAGACCATCCAGAGCGAGGCGGCCGCGCGCTTGCCGCGGGGCACGTGGGCAGCCTGTGCGCGTGGCTCGAGCAGCTCGCCCCGTGGCGCCACCGACGGGGCGCCATCGGTCGCCGCAGAGGCCCCTGTAAGCTTGGCATCGCTTGGACGTGTGCACCTTTCCTTCGGCGAGGACCATCGAGGAACATCCTTGATCATTTCGCGAAAAAACCACGCACGAAACCGAAAAAAAACAGGAAATGGGCGTCCGAGCGATGGCCGGTAAGCGACTGCGTGGGGAGAGGCCGACGCTGGTGCAGTGGGCAGCGGAGCCAGGGCCCCGCCTGCCCACCGCGGGCGGTGCCACCTGCCACCCGCCTCTGGCCCATTGGGGTGCTCCCCGCACGCGCGCCGGGGAAGAAGGGGCGGGGGGCGCACGGCCAGCCCCCTGGCGGAGCGGCAGCGCCGCCGCCGGGCCCGCGATCGGCCCTGCCGCCTCGCCGAGTGCGCCGCCGAGGCCGAGGCCGGGCCTCGGGGCGGCAGGGCGAGTCGCTGCACCGGCCGATCGAGGCCGACGCGGGCGAGCAGGGCGGCAGCGCCGGGGAGGCCGGCAACACCGGCTGGTGGAGCCTCGAGGCGGCAGCGCAGGGCAAGCTGCCACGCCGACCGAGCGCTGCGGACGAACACGGGCGGGCGCTGCGCGATCAGCGCCGCGCACCGCGCCCGGCGGCACGGCGCGCGACCCGCGAGGAGGCGCGGTCTTGGAGCTGGCGCCGTGGGGGGGAGCACCATCACGGCCCGTCGGGCGCCACCTGCGAGGCTGGCATGACAGCTCCCACGAGGTGTCCGCTTGCGCAGGTGCCGCGGAGGCGCGAGCCGACGAGGGGGATGAGGAGCCGGTCATCGCCAGCTGCTCCAACGAGGTGTTGCAGCCGTTCTTCTCTGGCGTGCTCGCTCCGGTGACCTGCGCGCCAGAGGAGCGGGGCAGGCCTGGCTCACGAGGGGCCGCCGCCGAGACGTGCGGCGTGGACTTCGACGCGGGTCCAGAACTTGAGCCCAGTGCGGCGGAGCTTCGGGCTGACCCCCCTCCGAGCGCGAGCCGCGCGAGGTGCTGTGATGATCCTGCACGCGGATTGGCCCCGTCGAAACCACCTCGGGAGTGGCACGGGCACGCCGGTGTCGGGCGGCGCCTCGCGCGGGCGGCTCACACCGCGACTGCGGCGCGGAGACGAACGTCGGGGCCACCACCCCGAGAGGGGGCAGCGGCCACGACGCCTCGAGTGTTGCGCGCACGCGCCCGCGGACCAGACGTCCGCCCTGAGCTGCTGCAGGGGGACCGGGTGCGCGTCGCTCGTCGAGTCAGTGGTGCGATGTGGTGTGGCGGCCACCTTGGTAAATATGCTGCTTGCGTTGCTCTGCCTGCCCATGCCGAGGCCAGCCCAAAATACGAGCAGGCGGGGGCGGAGAAGTGCCACGGCATGCGGGGGCGACCTTCGCAAAGACGTGTCAGTGGACACCAGCATACTTAGCATGTCGGGCACGACGCGGGCGCTCGAGGAGCAGTAGCTTCACCTCGTGCAGTGGAGTGGCGGCGGCAGCAGACAGCACGGCGAGACCAGATGCACGGGCTCGACGCTCGGGGGCAGCAGAGGCAGCCGCGACACAGCGGACAGCCAGCCGTCGAAGATGGACGCGCTGACGGGAGCGACGGCCGACCACGAAGCACGGCTGCACGCCCGAAGTGGGAACTCCGCCGCCACCTCCTCCTCCTCCTCCTCATCATCATCATCCAGCTCTTTTTGTTGCACCTCCTCCTCCTCCTCCTCCTCCTCCGTAGCCATTTTGGCTCAAGATGGTGAGTCCATCAGGGGAACAAGCGGACACCGCTAGTCCGCGGCAGGCAAGGCCACCTGTGGCCTGGCAGACTTCACCCGCACCGACGTCCGCCGTCACGGGTAAACGGAGGCCTTTCCCGTTCCTGTGTGGGCGAGCGTCCCAGACTTCTTCCTCGCCATGTCGGAGAAAGGAGGCTCGCCCGCTGCGATGCCACTGCGCTGCAAAGGGATCTCGAAGCGTCCTCCTCCTGGCGAGCCTGGTGGCGATCCTGGCGGCAGGGCTGACCGCTCCCGTTCACCACCGCAGGGAGATGAAGTTGATTTGGACGCATACGCCACCATGGCCTACGTGCAGTCCCTCCAGTCGAAGATCGACGCGATGGAGACCTCAATCAAAGAGTCCATCAATTCGACCGTCACCACCGTGGTCAGCTCCGCCACCAATCCCATCTCGTTGGCGCTCAAGGCCGCCCAGGACGGCATTGACGGGTTGGGCGCCAAGATCGAGAAGAACGTCCACCTCGCCGTCGGCCAGCAGATCGACGCCACGAGGAAGCACTTCCAGCAACAGCTCGACGCCTTCAACATACGCGTCGGCGAAGTGGAAGCCAAACAGGAGAAGACCGACAAAGCAATCGAGCTCATGGCGGAGCAGATCAAAGTATTGCAACGCGAGCTCGCCACAGCCAACGTGCAACCGATCAAACAGCAGTTCATCAGCCGCGACTTCGATCGCGAAATCGACGCCACGATCATCAAGGTCCACGCGGACGGCCTGGTCACCCTGGCCAAGGCCACCGAGTCCCTCACCAAGTTCGTGGTGGGCTGCGACATCCGCGAGACTGACTTCACTGTCACTGGCAACGACACCGCCAAATTTTTCACCATCAAGTTCACGGGCCTCCCTGGCCCCGCCAGCCGCCGTGTGCAGAAAGTCCTGGACAGCATGCGCTCGACCAACGGCACCTGGGTGCGCATCTACGCCGATGCTGTCTCGGGCCACGGGACGGTCGAGCTGCGGATGGGCCCCGACAAGTCGCCGAAGCAGATCAAGACGGAGATCGTGGGGAAGCGCCTCCGCCAGGCCATGGAACGCGAGTTCCCGAACCATGTCTGGCGCGTGGACCGCACCAAGGCCTGGATCACTGCAGGCTGGGCCCCCGTCATCGCGTACAGCGTCAGCCCAGGCAGGGACGAGCCGACCATCCTCACGTTTCAGGACACCGGCCTCCCCGCGCTGGCCATCGACCGCACGACCCTCAAGAACGCCGCCAACGCGGTTGTTGCACCTGAAGCCGCCCCGCAATTTTGGCTTTGACGAGCTGGCGCGCAGCCAGAACCGGGCCGACGCCCTGCCTGGCTGTCGGCACATGGAATGCTCGCGCTCTCCTGGGCTACCAGGGCAGACGCGTCGTGGAGAAGTCCGCGTACCTCAAGTCCATGCCGCTGAGCAAGATGGTCTTGGGCATCCAGGAGGTCCACCAGAACCACGGCCAGCTCCTTGCCTTCATGCGGAAGATCGACAGCACCCTTGACATGCACTCCTCCTTTGCTCCTGGACATCATGGCACTATCAGTGGCGGGGTTGCCACTGTGTTCCCTGCTGGGGTGAACGCTGTGAGCGACCCCGTTTTTCCTGGCCGTGTTCTACGCTCTGTCTTCCGTGCTGGCGACCAAGTGATGATCTTCTACAATATCCACAACTACGACCTCAGCAACGCCACCATCCAGAACATCACCACGCGCATCAACAGCGACCTGCAGTGGGCGAGGTCCGACCCGAGCCGCGTTGTCCTGTTCGTAACTGGGGATTTCAACTTCTCCGCCGTAGGGGAGCTGAAGCTACTGGACCCTGTGGCAAAGGGCAACTCGAACCCAACTGAAACGTCCAAAGCATCGGCGCGCAAGTGGCACAACGCCCTGAAGCACCTAGTGGAGATCGACAGCGCCGACACCACGCACTACTGCTCCGAGACGAAGGCCGAGACCACCATCGACAGATGCTTCTGCTCGTTCACTCCCACTCAGATGCTGCAGCTGGCTGTCACGTCCTCCACTTTCTCCACGCCTGAAGACCTCTCACGCCGTCGGGTTAGTGACCATGCCGCCCTCTTCGTCTCCTTCACGATGCGCGATGCCAAACCCTCGCCGAACCAGCCGATCGCCCAGTACATCGTCAAGTCCCCGGTCTTCAAAGAGATTGCCGACAAGGTGTTTGCCGCCTCCCCCATGGGCAACCTGTCCCCGCCGACCAAGCTGATTCAGACCACCGATGTTCTCAGACAAATTGCACGTGAAGCTCGTGACCGTCTGCATGAAATGCATCCGAGCAGAGGCGACGTGCTCCTTCAGGTAGCGAAGTCGATCTCACGTGCGGTTTGGCGCCAAGACCGACAACTCGCTGCTCGCCTCCTTCGCTCGCACCTAGTCGCACAAGAACACATCCAGATCAATGGTGTCAGCGTCGGGCTCATCGATCATGCAAAGTCCGAGGAGTGGGCAAGCAACCTCTTCCGCCAAGACGCTGAACAGCGTCAGGCAGCTATCGACCAAGCAGTTCAACGTGGGCGCATCCGACCCGCTCAAGCACGTGGACAAACTCAAGCCCTGCAAAGGAAGCTCCAGCTCTGGAACCCACTCAGCAAGCGCCTGATCCTGACGGGAGTCAAGACCAGCGAGGGCACCGTGACGGGCCCCAACGAGCGGCTCAAGAAGCTTGTTGAGCACTGGCAGCCGGTCTTCGCGGGCAAGACCGTCGACGTGACCAAGGCCGCCGTCTACCTGAACCAGTTCTCGCCCACCATCGCTTTCTCCAAGTACAGGCCGCCAGACTATGAGACGCTCAAGAAGTTTGCCAGGCGCTCGTCCTCCACTTCACCAGGCCTTGACGGACTGCCGTATCTTGCCTGGTCCGCGCACGAGAAGTGCACCGAGGTTCTCTGGGGCGTCATGTGCTACATGCTCAACGGCGGGATCCCCCCCGACGAAGTGAACGCGACCGTCCAAGCTTTCTTGCCCAAAGGTGAGGAACCAGAGGACTCGGAACATCACGGCTGCCATCGAGACCCGTCCAAAGTCCGTGTCCTAGGATTGCGCAACACGTCCCTCAAGATAATCAGCAGCGCGATGAATGCTGCGACGGCAGTGGTGGCAGCCGAGGTGGTCCCAGCCTCACAGCGTGGGTTCATCCATCGGCGTAACTTCGGTTTCAACATCCTCGAGCTTGACGCCGAGAGCCGCATTGCCTCGGCCGACCCAGACGCCCAGGACATGCTGCCAGTGCTCGTGTCGCTGGACATCGCGCAGGCCTTCCCCAGCTTCGCCCACCAGTTCATCCGTCTGGCGCTCAAGGCCATGGGCGCTCCCGAAGCGATCCTCATGTTCTTCGACTCCATGTGCAACAACATCCTCGCGATGGCCCCGTGCGCTGGCCAGTACGTCCCGCTCTTCTATATCAGGTCGGGCATCATCCAAGGATGCGGCTGGAGCGGCACGCTGTACGCACTGGGCGCTGCAAGTTTCCTCCTCAACCTCGAGACCGTCCTCGAAGCCCAAGGCCGTGGACTCTGCCGCGCATGCGCTGATGACCTCGGGCTCGTCCTTCGGGTCGCCGCCTACCTGGTCTACCTCGCCGACGTCATGCTCTGCGTGGAAATCCTGGCTGGTCTGGAGTTGAAGGCGCCGAAGTGCCACATCATCCCCTTGGCAGGCCAGGTCAACGCCGACCTCATCCTCAAGCTCAAGAATGCGCTGCTCGACATCGTCCCGAAGTTCAAGGACTTCAACATATGCGACCGCCTCACCTACCTCGGCCTCTTGCTGGGCCCTGGTGCCACGGACCAGCTCATTTACGCGAAGGCCTTCAACAAGTACCGCTCCCGAGTCAGGGCGTACAGTGCAAGTGATGCGCCAGCCGTCGGGACTGTCGCCCTGTACAACGGGCGCGCGCTCCCCGTCCTCGGCTACCTTGCCCAGTACGCCTTGCCCCCGCACGAACACTTCAAGCATAAGAGCTGGATCAACGCCTCCATCCTGCGCTTCCCGAACGGCGCATTCAGGTTGAAGGACTGGTCTTTCCTGAAGGACTGGGGGGTCCCCGCGCCGAGGTCGCTCCAGCTCAGCATGCTAGCGACAATCGTCCGCGCGGTGACCTCGACGTTCAAGAAGTTCACCGAGATTCGTGAGAGACTGCACGCAGGTTTGAACTCCTACGGCCTCCTGCAGACCCTCGAGGGTGCCGCGCGGGGTGCCCTCCATCTCTCACCGCCGTGGTGGCAGACGCAGGCCTTCGTAGAGACGATGCACCAGATCGCGACAGCCACCTCTGACCACGTGTACTACCCCCACCAGCTGGTGGCGCCAGCGATCGAGGCCGCGCGGGCGGCGGTCGCCAACGAGCAGCCTGGCCTCGCGCAGAAGCATGCCTACGCCTCGGCCTTGACCACCCGCGGGTGGCCGACGGCATCGGGCCCTTCCTGCAGGACCGCATCGTGAAAGAGCTCCCACACGCTAACGAGCTCTTCACCCACAACCCCACCATCATGCACGACATCCAGACCGCCATGAAAAGGCTGCCCCCATCGTGGGCGACAGCGTGGATGAGGACGCTGTCCTTCTCGTGGCTCACGTCCTACCGCATCGCCTACCCGTGCGGTAGGCGCCTGTGCATCTTCGGCTGCGCAAACGGCCAAGACAAGATGTGCCACTACCTCGTCTGCGCGCCACTGGCGCTTGCTGTGGGGCGTGCTTGCGGTGCGCCCCCCCTCTCTCCACCGAGTTCGCGAAGCTCGGGCTTATCGACCAGTCCAACGAGTGCACCGAGTCCATCGCGGTCGCCTGCCTCACGTACCACATGCTCAGGCAGGAGACCCACGTCTCGGCGGAGGCCACTCTGACGGCACTGAGGGCGGCACTGAGGGCCACGAAGACCATGAAGAAGCCGCCGCCCGTGCTGCGTCAGCACCATCGCCACCGTCGGGTGGGAGCGGCCCCTGGACACGGACATCCACCTGCACCTGATCGGCATCGTGTGGGAGATGCCGACGTACCTCATCCACTTCGGCTCCGTGGAGCGCCGCTGATCACGATCAGCATCCAGTTCACATCCGAGGAGATGTTGGGCATCCTCCTCCTGGCGCGCTGCCTGTGAGCAGGTAAGCGCGTGCGCGGGGGCTGCTGGCGCCGCGCGGGGCGCGGCCGTCGGGAGCCTGGAGCCTTCCCCCTCCGCGCCGCGCACGACCACACACACACCCCGCCCTGTCCTACTGCCTCTCTTTTTGTTCCTCTTCTCGTCTCCCTCCTCCATCCTTCTCCTTTTCATCCTCCTCCTCCTGCCCACATCCTCTCCTCCTGCCTCACCTAACCTCCTCCATTGCGCGCACCCACACACTGTAGCCAGGAGACGGCCATGGGCGCCGCGTCTTTGGAGCTTTTGCACCCTTGTGTTCATTTTCTTGAAACAGGGTGTCTAGTGAGCTCCGACCACCTTCCTTCCGGCGCTCGCCCCGCCCCACCGCCCGCCCCCACGCCCTCCACCACACACCCACACCCAACCGCCCACTACCCCAAGCCGTGACCCGTCACCGCCCCCGTCAGTGCTCAGACCCCACGCACCACTTATTTCCGCGCCCGTTCGCACTCCGTCCAGCGCCGGTTTATCACCCAGGAGCCCCGCCCCCTACCCCCCGACCACTTCACTTCGGCGTCGCACGCCCCCACTGTTCCCGCCCCACGACTCTTCCCCACCAAGCCGCCCCAGCCCGCGCCATTCCACCTGCCCCCCCCGCGCCCGAAAATAATTATTTCGGCGTCGCACCGCCCCCCCAGTGTCCTGCCTTCCCGACCCTTCCCACCTCCAGTGCCTTCTGCACCGAGCCCCCCCTCCGCCCCGAGCACTTCATGTCGGCGCCGCACCACCCCCGCCGCCCCACCCCCCCCATTCTCCCCCCCTGCCTCCCCAGCCGCCCAGTGCCCTCTGCCCCCGCCCCCTTCCGCCACGAACCATTGCATCCGGCGCGCAACCGCCCCCACGCCCCGTCCCCCATCGACCCTTTCCCCCCCTCCACCCACGCCAGTGCCCTACTGCCCCCCCGCCCCCTCCGCCCCAACCATTTATTCGGCGCGTCGCCCCCCCGCCCCCAACCGCCCCGCCCGCCCCAACCTGCCCCCCCACGTCAAGGCTCCCGACCCTCTGCACACCCCGCCCCGCATCCGCCCCGAACCAGTTCATTCCAGCGTCGGCAACGCCCCCACCAGCCCAGCCCCCCGCGACCCTTCTCCCCCCGACCCGCCCAGTCCACCCCGCCACCTCTCCGCCCCGACCACTTTATTCCGGAGTCGCACCGCCCCCACCGTCCCGTCGCACCCCCCGACTTTCCCCCCTTCCCAGCCGCCCAATGCGTGTCCTCTGCGCACCGCCCCCCTCCAAACCGACCATTGCATTTCGGCGTCGCACCGCCCCCGCCGCCCCGCCCCCACGACCCTACCCCCCTCCCCACCCGCTCAGTGTCTCCCAACAGCGCCCCCTCCGCCCCGGCACCATTTTCATTCAGCCGTGCCGCAACGCCCCCAACGCCCGCCCGGGCCCCTCCCCCCCCCGCCGCCCAGTGCACCCCGCCCTCTCCGTCCCGACAAAACTTTATTTCGGCGTTGCCCGCCCCCTCGCCCCGGCCGCCCCCCGACATTCCCCCCCCCCACCAGCCCAGTGCCCTCTCCAGCCCAGTGCCCTCTGCACCCGCCCCCCTCCGATCCGAACCAACCACTTGATTATATTGCACAGCTGTGCTCTAGAGCTCGAACCTCTTTATTTTCGTTCGTGGTCGTCGTTCCTTCGCTCTTCGTTCGTCCTCCCCCCCGCGGCCACCATAGTAAACTCCTGGAGGAAGGAGGCGAACGCCTCGTGTCTCTAGCAGCTCCTTGGTGCAAGAGCCAGGGCACGCGTGCCACTTGTTTCGGCGTCGCACCGCCCCCACCGCGCCGCCGCCCCCTCGACCCTTCCCCCTTCCCCACCCGACCACTGCCTTCTGCGCCCCGCCTCCCTCCGCCCCAACCATCCCACTTCAGCGCCGCAGCGCCCCTACAGCCCCGCCCCCGCGACCCTTCCCCCCTCCCGACCCGCCCAGTCCACCCCGTCGCCCCGTCCGCCCCGACAACTTTATTTCGGCGCCGCACCGCCTCCACCGTCCCGCCGCTTTCCCGTCCCCCCCCCAGCCGCCTGCCCCCACCGCCCCGCCCCCCTCTTGGAGCCATTTCAAGGCTGTCCTGGGGTCACTGCGGGGTTTTTGGGCCAGTCTTGGGATTCCTTTTAGGTGTCTTGGGGCCCGTTCGGGGCTCTTTGTGGGGGTTGGGGAGGCCTCTTGGGGCCGTCTAGCCCCCCATGAAACGAAAATAGTAGGGTACTAATTGTCAATCCCCCCTCAGAGGCTCAAACATGCCGTCTTAGAGCCCTCGTGGGCCGCTCTTGCAGCGCGCTTGGGCGCGGCGCTCTTAGGGCCCTCTTGGACCCCTCAAGGGCCCCTCTTGGGGCTCTCTTGGACCCTCTTGGGGCTCTTTGGGGTGGTCTGGGAGGCTTCTCGGGGCCATCTTAAAAGCAACGGCTGAAAAAAACAGAGCGGCTGAAATTCCGCCCCCCCCCCTCGGAGCCCCCCAAATGCCGTATTGGGGCCCTCTTGGGTCGCTCTTGGAGCGCTCTTGGGCGCTCTTGGAGCCGTCTTGGGGCCATCTTCGGGCCTCTCTTGGGGCTATGTTGGGCCGTCTTGGGGCCATCTTGAGGCCCCAAGAGCCCGTCGGAGGCCAAAAAGTGAGAAGACAAAAAGCATTGGTGTTGCTTTGGTGTTTGAAGAACTTTGGCTTCTTTGGGGGGTCCTTGCAGGGCTCGGAGGGCACTTGGAACGGTCTTGGAGCCGTCTTGAGGCCTCTTGGATGCGTGTCGGAGGCTATCATGAGCCATCTTGAGCTATCTTAAGCCATCTTGGGGTCTCTGGGGCCCTCTTGGAGCCATCTTGGGCCATCTTGGGCGCTCTAACCCCTCGCCCCCCCCGACCAGACGCAGGGAGGGAGGGGGGAGGTAAACCTCTCCGACCAGAGGGAGGAGAGAGGTTGGAACAGGAAACGCCCTGTGTAGACCACCTGCGCCCAGAGGGCTGGTGGGATTTTTCGGCGTCGCGCCGCCCTCACCGCTGCCCAGCAGCCCGGTGCCCTCGCCACCCCGACCTCCTCCGCCCCCCTCCGCCCCGACCGTTCTATTTCGGCGTCGCACCCCCCCCCCACAGCGCGACCCCCTCCGCCCCGACCACTTCATTGCGGCGTCGCACCGCCCTCACCCCAGCGTTCCCCAGCAGCCCAGTGCCCTCTCCACTCCGCCCCCTTCCGCCCCGACCATTTCATGTCGGCGTCGCACCGCGCCCGCCGCCGCGGGGAGCCTCGTCGATGCCATTGTAGGGCTCCCGGGGACCTCTTGGGACCATCTGTGGGTTTCTTGGGTGTCTGTTGGAGGCCTCTGGGGGGCATGTGAAAGGTCTTTGAGGCCATC